GCACCAGGTTTGACTCAGTTCAGAGAGTCGAATCAATTGAAACCACCCGGCAATTTCCGGATACATACTCGAGTGAATTGGTAACTCCAGAAATCAGATTCATAATTTCCAAGATATTTGCAATTTACAAAGTTCGAGGTGATTACTTCAAACTAGTTTTGTTTGTAAACCAAATTTATTCAGATCACCACAATCTGTGATCTGCTTGATACACATAAGTTGCAATCTGGAAACCAAGCATAATCGTATGAAACGATATACTACTGATCGGTTGATATGAGTAATTGTATATCACTCACACAAACCAGTAGTATTTTTGTATGTATGTATGTATTCTAACATTGTGTTAACTGATGTAAAAAAATGAACTTTCTATAGTTTGGTTTTTAAGGGTTAGTTATGTTTTTTCGAGTTGATCACAGTTGGGGTAGCGATAAATCACGAATTGGTAGAAGTTAGAATTCATGAGCCATTGAATCGGGTCCCAGTGGCTGAATGGTATACGAGCTTGCCTTGTAACCGGAAGGTCCTGGGTTCGAATCCCAGTGGGTGCGTACTGGCGATGATTCCCAAACTAAGATGAGACAACAGCTGTCCATTACTCCTTGGTTTTCAATTGTTCTCTAACTGATATCAATCCATGATCGACTCCAAAAAAAATGAACATAGGATTATATCACTATAACTACGCGCACAGATATAACGCTCAGAAAACTCAGTTAACCAGGGAAGATTTTTCACATACACATACAGCAAGGGGTATTCATTTAGTTAGTGCAGTAAAGCAAAATACTTTAATCATGATTAGTGAAAATGTTTACAGTCCTTTAAGAAAATGAAAAAGAGTGAGTAGATGTAGACACTACTTTGAAGGATTTCGAGCAATATTATTATCCAGAGTTTCGGAACTGTTGATTCCTTGCATCGTATAAAAATCAGAAGTCAGGAAGTGACTCATTTTACAATGATTATAGGCCTTGATTGATGTCTTCACACCTTTGCTTAGGCAAAATGGAGTTTAGTCGAATATAAATTGAAATGTTGCTCAACCATCAATTGAAACTATATGCAGTTGGCAATTGATCACACACACGCAGTGAGTAAAGGCTAGTGATACCACCTGACTCGAGCATAGTTCAAATCTTTGACCCAGTGGTTGAAAGTCAAGTGCCTCGACCAATGAGCCATAATCCTACTAAAACATAAATACTTTAAAACTATACACGCGATACATAATATAAGCAAAATAAAAAAGTGTATACATCAAACATCTGATTTTAGATAAAGCTTGAAACATACACCAATTTATCATGGAAATAACTAACTCATCGTTCACCAACAAATAGAATATTACAATTTACAATAGGATAGAGGAAAATTGACATGTCAAGTTATTGCAATAATCTAATTAATGACAGAAAAACAACAACAACAACGAAGAAATAGCAAAACCAAAAAGAGAAGGAATAAAGTAACAAGAAATTGGAAAATACAAAATATATTCCAAGTGGAACATATATTGCCTTTCAGTTCTCTGGTGTCACGTCCAGCTGCTCCCAAGACTGTCTACAAGAGTTCATTTCCTTTACTCATAACCTTCTTCATGTCACCCTTAGACCCACGCTGAACTCGTTGCTTCCCATTCCAGTTTCACACTAGGACCTGGTGTGCAATGTAACTCAACAATCTCTTCGGCGCGTGCCCAATCCATCTTCATTTTCTTCAGCACATTTGTTGGGCAACAGGTTCTTGTCTACCATAGTTCTTTGTTGTTTATCCTTACTAGCGGGCCATCTAATGTTTGATAAGGAGCGAAGGCAGTTGTTGACGAAAGTTTGCAGTAACATGTTGGAAATGACTTTCGTAACACTCACATCAAGTCTCTCAATTATACAGAAGCACTGAGTGAATATGCATAAGTGTTGAAAATTAGGATCTTGTTCTTTGCTGTTAAGTACTGCACATCTTCACATTAATTTAAGACGTATGAACATTTATCTAGCTTTCCCAATCCTCACTTTGACATCTTTATTTGCGGCGCCTGTTAGTTGATATGATACTGTTTAGCCAGGTAATTGAGAGAGACGATTTGCTTGGGATTTTTCCCATTAACTGTGACTGCTATTTTTTGTTGTCTTGTATCATGATTACTTCCATCGTTCACACCTTCACTTGATGTCCTATCTTCAGTGCTTATTCCTCCCCCAACTTGTTAATTTTCGAGTTTGTAACAAATGAGACAGAAGCAATCCGTGAAATCCTACTGTTTTAGAGTCTTGCTGCCAATTCAATGAATACACGTCTCCTCCACACTCCTTCCAGTTTGTTGAATGACCCAGTTCATCACAATTAAGAAGATTACTAGTGATGGCGGAGAGCCTTGTCTTACACCGTGCATCGTTTGACGCTGAGGCAATACTTAAAACATGAATATTTAACAGTAAACGCAAAATATAAAAAGGTTAAACAATTTCTAATCTAGTTTTTACACGATCAAATCAATTCCACTCTTGCAGAGAATCAAAGCAGCTGATGTGAAAATGTTTACTCTAAGAATCATTAAAACACTGAATGTGAAATCATAGTGATCTAAAATCATATGATATAAAAATAATTTCTGAGTTTTATTTGTTTTGATGTAGATTTTGGCTAGCTAGATATTAACAACCTTACATTTGATAACAGTTAACACGGGAGCATGTATAGCTTTGCCATAAGTAATATATAAAATATGTTGATCTGATTAAACATGACTAGTGATAAAAAACAATGAAGAAATCAAATGAATAACTGCTAGTTTCATCCTTTTTTTATTTAGTATTTTTTCCCATGATTGTTATACATAAGATGAAACAAGAGAATCATCATTATCCTCCAGTATTCGATCAATAAGTAGAACAGTACATAGATAAGTGTGAAGAAGGCAAGATATAACCATACATATATCCTTGCGTGAAGTGCATAGTAATGGCAATTAAATAAGAGTAATTAGAAAGCGAAAAATTGACTTATTTTACACTCTAAAGCACAGGTAATTTATGTCTAGTCATGCGGGAACTAGAAGAAGCAGTGAAGACAGGACTTCAAGTGAACATAACACAGAGGTGTTAATGATGTCTAGCAAGAAACAGTAACAACAACAAACACTTATCGGTGTCAACAAAAGAAACGTGTAAAAAAACACCTCTATCACTTGTATGACCAGGCACCATCATTTCAACTGCAGGGGGCACGGAAGAGAATGTCAAAGCCAGGCAGGATCATGAAGGCAAGACAGAACTCCGTTAATCTGAAATGAGCCTGGAAATCTGCTACACTTAGCATAAGCAACAGGATTCAGATTTCCAAGAATAATGTGAAATCAGTGTTTCCAAATTGTTCACAAACTTGATGTGTGTGACAGCTAAAAACATACTACAGTAGATATCATCAACAGCTGTTCCATTAAATCGGCACTGAATATATCAGATGACAGGTCGGACAGGATGAGCAATAAACAACTCTGGCAACGAACCACCAAGAACGCACCTGACACTTGAGTGGAACCGGGTCAGGTGTCTAAGCGTGACAAGAAGAAATGAAAGCTTGTGGGCAGTCATATATCCATCTGAAAGTGACAGTAGAGAACAGGGACAATGGAGATGGACCACTAAAGTATAGTCTTCCGTCAGAAATACAAGGAATAACTATTAATATAAAAATTACCATAGAACAAATGAAAGCCCCTCCTTACAGAATAGTGATTTGCTTGATAAGTCGGTTTAATTAAAAACTGCTATTAATCGGCCAGTTGCAACTAACAAAAATTCCCACTTACATATAAACCAATCTTATTCAAGCTGATTACATGGAAAGAGATGGTCATCACATACTGATGGAGAATTCTGAAAGCTGTCTTAAACTTGAAGTTAATACTGACGTTTTGTGTAGAAAGACAATAAAAGCTTTACAATAGATCCATCTCGATCTGGGGTGAAATCTTTCCTCATCATTTGAAAATGAGTTTTCACAGATTAAGTAACTACAAGCTTCTACATAAAATAAGCGTAGCTCATAGCGTGGAACCTACAAAAAATATGAAGTCTATTTTGCAGTAACTATCAGATAAAATTCTGTTTGCCGTTATGTTTGAAAATGACTTATTTTCAAGCATGAAATAACCTACAGTTAAGCTAAATATTTAGCCAGAAGACACCATTGAGTGATATCACGTATCAGTCCCACGATGGGACTCCAAATCGGAAAACAACGATTTGTGTATTGGTTTGAGGGTGACTTGGAGGAGGTTGTGTGATGAAGGGATGGGAGCTTACGGTAAATCATGGAGCCAACTCAAAAGGACTGCAGCAAAACAGCATGAAATGACATACATTGTTGAAGCACAATATTCCATGTGGAATCCAAGGGGAAATAGTGAATAACTAATAATATAAGTAGTATTAATACATAATAATATAAACACTACTCTGTAGAGTTCTGTAAAACGTAACCTTAAAAGATCAAGTAAGTGATATGTGACAAATTAAATAATTTTGCACTCAAAAAGGCAGATTCACTGCAATAAATTAATAACGCACAATAGAATACTTGGGCAGAGAAAGGTTTCTATGCAAGCAGTCACACACACGCAGACGCGTACGTGTCTACGCACTGGCAAGTGGTATGATTGGTGAAGAGCGAGACGAAGCGTAAAAGAAGTGAGAAAAACAAGATGAGGAAGAAAAGCAATAACACTACCACACAAAAGCATCTTCAGGCAAAAAAGGAAAATCTTAATACAACTGTAGTAGTAAGTCACATATCTGTGCTTTAATCAAACAGCGAAGAAGACGAAGAAGAAGCACTCATCAAGCACTAGCGCAGAGTAGCATAATCCTCACCTGTCGTGAAACAATAAGCGAATACGTGTAAATCATCATTCATTGTATTAATTACTAAGAGTACACACACACACACACACTAATTAAGTAGCTAGTAATAAAATAGTAATGATTTGATACCTATAGCTTTATATCTTTTATGAGTAGTTGCTGCTGGATATTCTATACCCTTGGATGAAACAGTTGATATATTTGAAGAGATTTTTGGAATATTGGCAGGCGTATACAAAGTATCTGTGAAAGTAATTATAAATACACATACATCCATACAGACATAAAGAATATGATATATTAATCTTTCCGTAGAGATGACGTAATAACTTGATCTCCCTACAGCTTTTTCTTCAAATAAAAATGGGATATTTAGGGGCAGCTGTGGACTCTTCATCACCAAAGAATATTATGCAGAGGGTGTATTACTCTTTTTCCCGATATAAGAAAGTCTTCACCAATGTTTATATGCAACTCCGAAAGGTGTCAGTCAGTCTATGACTAAGATGAAGAATAGGTTTGCATCCGAACTAGAAGCCTCCAGAAACGATTAATCGATGATCGGTAGACTTCTTCTCCTCAAAATGCTATCAGATGGCCACGAGTTTATAACTTATGCCAACTAGGGGGGTTCTATCCTCTGCTTTCACGTGCTGAATGTGTTCCTCACGAAAGTGATAGGGGGAATACTAACATCTGGCGCTTACAAGCCGACTAATGGACATGCGGGTCTACTTAGAGGGGCTAGAAAACCCTGATTCCAGAAACCGAAAGGATCGAATGGCGTCTAAACCTGTTTCGGTCATCACTAACCACAGAAGTGTTGCTCCACTGTGTTGTGGATCGCACGTTAATCCAAAGGCCTTAGAAGGTAACCGCTCTACTCTAATCAAACACCTGCTTTGATATGGGCGTTCGGGCAGCATCCCGACCCTCTCACAAACTATGAGATTTTATGCAGCGCATCTCATTGGTCCCCATAATGTACCCAGTTCATGTCTCAATAATAATAATAATAATAATATTATTATTAAACTAGAAGTTCAAGAGGTATTGCCTCCTAATTATGAACCCCTACTACCCAATAATCACCACCTCATTAACGAAAAGTAATGAAACCAAGTTTTAAAAGTCCGTTGGTGTCTTATCAGTTTTCAAGTTTTCCTTATAACCGATGACGTAATCTACCCTGAATATGAAAACAGACTTCTTATTTTCCTTGATTTTGACTTTCTTAATAATCGTTTTTCATAAATAGGCACAAATATGACTGAAGGAATGTGTATAACTTTTTAATGAAGTCAAGATGCTTAACTGTTATTAGCTAAGATTATAAAATAGTTATTCACATACAAATATTTCAAGTATGTTGTATATTGTAATAAATAGTTATCTATTGTTCAATAACACTATACAAGTGAATCTAATTATGTAATCAGTCGGAGAACAATGAACAGTGATCATTAAACAACAACAATAACAATAACTAACCTCGATAAGATGTCCCACCAATAGACAACTGACTTCTGAAAGAATTAAAAATCAATAAATAGATGAGACAGAATAAATAAAACTATTAAACACTTGCCAACTTGAATTCTAAACAAAATACTGAAAAATACACAGCATAAAACTGAAAGTAATTTACTCAATATTACTAAACTGCAAAAATCAACTTATGAATTCGTTGACTGTTGGTCAGTACCATGTAGGGGAGAATGTAGCGCCTGCGCCTAGCTGAAGTCCTTAAGATTTAAAATTCAACACTTGGAGACTTGTTGTGACAGCTAATGGCTAAGATGTATCCATCTATTTCGTAGTCTAAACCGTTTTACTAATCTTCATTAAATTATTCTCACTATGGCACATAACCTTGTCTTAGTTTCGTTTTTATTCCCTTATTTTTTGTATTTCATCGATCACAAGATGACATCAATTAAAGAGCCAATGAGAACAAGGTGGACACTGGACACTTGTTTCGTCTTCGTTTGGGACTCCTCATCAATACACATCCCATGATTCACCCCACTAGGGATTGAATCTACGACTTTTAGGCTACGTTGTGAACTCGTTGACCGCTCAGCCACTAGAACAGAAGCCAATAGCCTATCGTCAATTCTACCTTCTGCGAATTCGAGGTTATTATAGTGCAACTGTTAGACGAATTCATCAAAGAGTATTTGCCCAATTTGGTGGATCCTGCTGACCATAAGGTTAATATCCGAGTGTTGATTTGCAGGGGGTGTTTGGACAGATACGCACCGATAATACAAGCTGACTGTAGTGCTATATCACGAATTAGCAGAAGTTAAAGTTGATGGGTCATTGGATTTCATTCCAGTAGCGGGACGGTATACGAGTTCATCTGGTAACCTGAAGGACTCACGGTTCGATCCCTGGTGGGGTGTGTCATGGACAAATACTGCTGAACAGTTCCAAACAAAACGAAAGAGCTGTCCAGTATTACATAGTTCTCAGCGGTTCTCTGATTGAAGACAATTCGGTACCAAAATTCATTTTTGATATTACACGACAGCAACTACATAAATATTCATACAGTTGGCAATAAACTACATCTATTAATTGAGAGTTTTAATGATGTAAACAGGCTTTCTTCTGGTGGGAAATTGAGAGAGCCTTTGGTCTGTTCAATGACTGAGAATCGAATGTTTGAACAAAAGTGGGTCGTCAACAAAGCTCCATTATGATGCAAAAAACGTTCCCTCTTATAGGAGTCAAGCTTCATCATCTACACATCGACACACGACTGTCAATCGTCATTGATTTCTCCCCTTTCAGCCTAGACTAAAACTACTTCATAATATATTGGGTGTAGATATTTTCTATATGAGCCACACTTGCGTGAAGGCAGATGATATTACCCAGTTACCCAGGCTGAAATAAGTCAAGGAGAATGAGAAACGGGGCTAAGTATAAGACAGCCATCATATCTGTTAGTGAGGTTAGAAATCGTTTATACTACGCGGAAAATATTCACGCACTTGACAACAACCACAACGCGAAGCACTTATGAATATCGTAAAGGTTTTTATCGTCAACAGCACAGACGCATAACCGGTTGTTTTTCTCTTCGATTTTGGCGTTAAAATTCCGTGACAACAGAATCCTCACTTACTTGTACAAAAAGTTTATACAAACGGTAGTACTAATAATAAGACTTACCCCCTTAAATTTGATTTTGAACTGCAAAAACAAACGAAAAACATGAATAAAGTAAGTGAACGGGGCAAAAATTCTTTTTGAGAAAACGGGTTGAACAGATTCAAATACAAGCAAGGCTATACATCAACTTTGTTTTAGAATTTAACTGCATGACTATATTTTCTATGAATCAGACACTAAACTGAAAATAGAAATTTCAAAGATATATAAGCAGTTACTATATAACGACCAAAATGGCAACGATGAAGTATAATGTTGCCCCAACAAACACATTTGTGAAAATGTACTCAGAGGTGACGTTAAAAATCTCCATCAAGTCGTAAAAGAATAAGCGTTCAACAAAGAGTTATTCTGTTCAACGATGTCATTCGCAAGCTGTACAATCACATACATATTTAGTAAATTTTCTTAGCAATGAAAGAAATGCTTCCAAAGATGTCTCATTACAGTTGGTAAGTGTTTGACAACAATCACGTAATACGAAGACCGTTAATTGGAAACTAGGACATTAGAAACTAAAATTAAATTAAGCAAGTAAATTGAATGACGCAACACAGTTGAGAGAATTGAGCAGAGTTCAACTAAAATCGAAAGAGAGTCAAGGTAAGTGTTATATTACGAGTAGAAATGTGATAGTGGGCGGAGGGTGGAAACAGTAAAATTAAGAAATTAGGACTAACACAAAAAATCATATATAAATTGTTAAGACAAATTAAGTCCATCGTAGTTTCAGTGACTGAACAAACTCCTTATGTACGCACGATTGAGAATTTTACATGTGAATTGTCGTAATTTCTGCGGTTGATAGAAGTTCGTTTCATACTCACTTAGCGAGATTTCTTCATGCTCTGTAGATGACTCTGAAGTTGATTTACTTGTTCGTCCGGTATAGATCAGGTTTTCTAGAATAAGATCTGCAGGAGGGATCTTTTTTCTTCTTTTTGAAATCATGAGGGTAAATGTTCGAGGATACACTTAGGTAGCAAACACTGAGTACGCCCGGAATATCTAGCTATACAGGAGAAGGCGAATCGATAAACACACATTGTTGAGGCCAATATTTGTAACTTGTTTTGTGCATTCATACAAATCATTGGTTTTGTAAAGAAATTAAGTCAATATTCAGCTGCGGAGGTTTTTCTCAATGAATACAACAGGCGGTTCTTTAGTATTTCTGCCTATGAGTCTCCACTGAATTACAGATTCAGATGGAGAAGCTTTTAGGAACAGAAATTGTGTGTGGTTTTGGCAGTGCAGGTTTCATGAACTTTGTGACAGTGCGTTTAGAGTATCTTTTTTCAATGAGAATCGTTTTTCAGACTGTTCATCTCCTTCTCTGATAGCAGAACTGCAAATGTGTATTCTGTGGCCCTTTGAGCGGATCAAGTTTCGTTTTATGTGTAAAGGCACTCAACTGTCGAAGTTTATGAGATGTACGTCTTATATCGGGTTTCTGTAGATGGGTCTTTTCAATGTTCCATTGCCATATAATCTGAGTCAGTCACTGGACGTACAGTGGATCTAATTTACCCCACCATTTGCGTAATTTTCATTAGTTTTAATTTTAAAAAATTCTCTCATTTTCCTACTTCTTATGCCGCTAATCTGAACATGGATTTCTTTCAGTTTTGGTTGAACTCTGCTCAATTCTCTCAACTGTGTTGCGTCATTCAATTTACTTGCTTAATTTAATTTTAGTTTCTAATGTCCTAGTTTCCAATTAACGGTCTTCGTATTACGTGATTGTTGTCAAACACTTACCAACTGTAATGAGACATCTTTGGAAGCATTTCTTTCATTGCTAAGAAATTTACTAAATATGTATGTGATTGTACAGCTTGCGAATGACATCGTTGAACAGAATAACTCTTCACTGAACACCTCTGTTCTCTTGTACAACAAAAAATAATTGAAGATGGCGAGACTATGTGAAATAATTTTGAATTGGAAGACTACTTCTAGTAATGTAATGGGTAATGATTGAAATTGAAATAAAAGTCTGTATCACTACAGAGTTAGAACCAATAGTTAGGGTTCAGGAAATGAGGTCAGAACTTGGGAAAACGACCTGTTGTAGATAACAGTTTTTGATTTAAATTTAGATATCTCTAATAAAAAGGAGGGAAGTTTCAAACAGATTTACGATCTAATTTCTTAGCTTACACTGACTCGCAAATATGAAGGTTATCAACTTTTCTTCACTTATATGCAACTGCCAGTTAACATAAAACCCACGTTAAGGATACTGGCCACTACCCTCTTATTTATTTTTACAAGAACGAGGAATCCATAAACAAAACCAATACATTAACAATGCCAGATCAGTTCAATTCAAACAATCTAGTATCGAGTTAATGGAAGTCATCACATTAGGCTATTTATTGTAAAAATATTCACTATTATAACTACACACGAAAGTGGATAACAGCACATTGGAATTATAGGCAGTCTGTAAGTGCTGTATACCAGGAGAAGCAGAACTAGGAGTGAAGTAGAAGAAAAAAAATACCTATCATGCATTCTATCGCGTAGCAATGAATACTAGCATCTCTCATTTTGATTAAAGCGCAACTGAGATTCCAGAACGAACTCCTGACCAAAATGACCGGATGATTGGATAGTTTCTTACTAGTTAGTATTAATTTAGCTACCGAACGAATTCGTATGTATTTATTGCCAAATGACCACATGAATTAACCAACAGTAAACAGATTATCCAAACTACAAAAATTAATTTAAACAAAACATGTAGTTCAGCGAAGAGTCACTTTATATATATATATATATATATATATATATGCGATTCTGCAGCTAAGAAAATGAATTCGCTGAAAAGAGACTCTTCGCTAAACTACAAAAATTAAATCACACCATGACATAATGTCAGTTATATGAGACTTCAATCTGGAACTACACATGAAGTAAACTAAAGTGACTATCTGCTTGAAGTTACGAATAACCTTCTGTATGATCGAAGTTCATAGGATGCAATTCACTTAGACAGTCGGCGTAATTACAGAACACAAACATCCAACCATGTCAGTTGGACTAGCTTCAGGACAATGTGCGGCGATAGCTGTAGTGAAATAATAGTCTGATTAGAATCCAAGTCTAATAGTTTAAACAGTGCAGTGCTCAGTTCTAGCGAACCCAGAGGCCAAACAATAAAATGCTACTGGTAAGGACTTGCTCAGGTCTTCACCATTTCACTTTTATCATTCAACATTAACATCAATAAACAATTTAAAATTCAAAAGATTTAAAATAAAAGAAAGAGAGAGATCTACTTACCCTCCATCAAGATTTTGGAAGTATGGATCTTTGCCAGCAGCCTTTTTAGCTACTGCTTCAGCCAAATTTAAAGTACTATGTGATATTTTACTCTTAACTTTCCTTAATAAACCTCTATGTTTACCACCTATGAGAGGTAGAGAGAGAAAGGAGTGAGATAAAAACAGAAAAGGAATTATAAACAAATAATAATAATAATACAATGAACTTTAAGGCTTATCTCACATGTTCTAATAAGCAAAATAATAACAGAAGTGAGATAGAAAATAGGAGAGAAGTAAAAAATGGAACCTTTCTTACTTAACCAATCAGATATAAAGATGACACAAAAACAATCAAAATTTGGTGAACTCAAATAATATACTTCAACATTTCCATTTTGAAGGATGAAAATCTCAAAAATACCATCTATGGATGAGATAAATTGACGTCCAAGAGTTAGTTTGCAAGGGTTTGATGCTTGCTATTGCAGGACGAAGTTGCCTGGAGTTCTAGTGAGAAGTTGTGGCCAGTGGGGTATATCCGGTAGGCAGTGAGGACAGATAGTCACCGATGTCATTGGCTGGTGGTTGCGCTAAAATCAGGAAAGGAGTTCTAAAAGAGATACAATTATACATGGTGAATTCTAATGAGGTCACTTCATATCAAAGCTTGAGCTAAAGCTGTCGTCTGGAAGGACAACAAAAGCTTCGCAATTAAATCAACAACCTCAGAGAACACAACCAAGTGAAAATCATTCCCTTGAGCTACAAATCTCTATTATATGATAATAAATATTCCTTGAGTTCTGAGTGGCGAATAGAGCTTCAAGCATTTAAGTTTCAGTAGCAGTGGTATTGATAGCTTATTGTTCAACCTTCCTTATTTTAAAGACTTACTATTTTATTTTTCTATTTAATTTTTGATTACAGTTTGATTCCACACTGTATTTTTGGTACAAGTATAGAATTTTCAGCACGGATATCGGTAGCCTAAATTTTGCAGGCCGACCATAGATATCAGGTGTGCGTCGGTAGGGGATCGAACCTCAGACCATGTGCATGGTCGACGAGAGTCCTAACCACTGTGCCACCGACGCACAGGCTAGAAATAAGCGACAGTCGGGAACTGAACTTAGACCAAGAGCGTGGATGGCGAGCATTTTTACCAATGAAATTACCGATGCAGAAAACCAGAAAGCACATTGGACAGCTGTTTCATCCTATTTTAGAAATCTTCACCACAAATTGAAACCAAGACCTTCAGGTTAAGAAGCCAGCTGGTTGATCATTCGGGTACTTGAACTATATGTACACAGTTTCATGGAAAGTGCAACCAACATTGAATTTTGTGTATACTGATGTAATCACAAGTTCCGACGTTAAATGATGATGACAATACACCATTATTATTATTGTGATAATGAAATTAACTCGTAATGATGAGTGATTGATTCATTAAAATATAAAACATTTAAAAACGCGAGAGAAAAGGGAAACCGGTTACATACAAATACGCATACACACAGTGAAACGTTTTTGAAAATGTGTAAACAAGATCAAGTAATACACTTAACTCACATGGGAAAGTAATTATTGAATTGAATGTGAATAAAACACCTCTCTCTCTCTCTCTCTCTCTCTCTCTCTCTCTCTCTTATTTCCCAAAAATTCATTCGCATAGATTGTGATTTAGTCATGAGTGAAAATTAATCTGAAGGAGCTATTGAGTTTTTCACCTTTCAGAAGCATCCACTCAAATGGTAAAAAGAATTAGGAACGAGGGATCGTCATGTTACTATTCATCATATATCTAGCAAAAGGGAATCTAGTGAACCATAATTTACAACTTTTATCATCCAATGTTATCCCCAAACAAATCAATCGGTCCCAACTTCAAGTCTCAACCAAATCTAGCATAGGCTACTAACTAATTGGGTGGTATCTTCAGTTCTCACGCACAATAAATGTTAGCTCATAACCCGATTTCGGGTAACTAACCTCTAACAACACTAGCCCCACACCAATGATTACTTCATATTACAAGTTGGGGCGATTTCAAGGAATACTAAGTTGTACCAACCCAGCAAAGAGAACTTTAGAAACACCTTTTTTAGTGAACTGGCAGAATTTGAAGAATGATAAATACCTGGGCGTCAACTTCACAACTAAGTACCCACGTATTCCTACCGCTAACTGTCAGGAGAGAAATGCTAAAAATGTCTTGAAATAGGAGGGTGAAATGATTATCGGATAGCCCTTGATTATTTTTTTTAAAAGCATAACAGGAAAAGACCTTTTATCAAAGTAAGAGAGAAAGAATAAATAATACACAAGAACAAAGCGCTCCCTCTATAAATCTTTCCGAATACATGTACCACCACCTATCATCCAGGGCTAAGTAGTAATGACAAAAAAAGTTAATTTATACGTCTTATTTCTATCTTTATTACGACATCTGTTCTATTTTTAGTTTTATTTGAAGGAATACCTTATCATGAATTTGTGTATGTGTGTATATGTGAATGTGTCAGTAAACTTCATTCATCCATACTTTAAGGATTCAAAACGATTCCAGTTAGATATGAGATGATATTAATATGATAGTGTTTTATTTATAACAGAGCTCCTTTTTGGAAATTTGTGCATAAATGTTGTTTAGAATTCATTATAAAGTTGTATGCCAAAAATTCTATTAAAATTAAACTAAAATCCATAGAGTCCCATATAAACTGTTAATGTCCCACATAATTCATTTGTGATAGGTTTGTGAGAAACACATTTAACTGTTTTTCATTTACATTAAGAATCAACAATTTTACAATTCCAAACTATAGATCATTCTGATGACTAGGAGCATGGGTTACAAATAATCAACAGCCACGTGGATTGCCATATTTTTTTCCTTCACATTCCTAGTGGAACATAGGGCTTCAAGCTAGTGGCTTGAAGTTTCTGTAGCAGCGTTTGATTTTTACAGGATGGGGTTGCTAGCCTCATGCCCAACCTTTCCTCTCTACCAGCATTATTTCTGGTTTAGCGAGGTAAGGGAGTGCGGGGGGCGTGGATCGAACCCCAGACCATGTACATGGTCGGCGAGCGTCCTAACCGCTATACCACCGACGCACGGATTGCCATATAGTTGACAATAAACCACATCTACTATGTGACAGCCAGTTGAAGTAGGTCTGTAACCCATGACCAAGTGGTCGGAAGTCAAGTTGCCCTGACCACCAATGAACACCTCAGCATCATAGCATTTTATTTAAACGCAGAAAAAAATTGGTAGAATATGGCATCACAGGAACATGGGTAGATATCGTTAATGTCCCAAACCAGAATACAAATTGCATTCTAGTACTCCTTGGCTTCCAATGGTTTCTATGCTAACATTCATTCATACAACTGACAGTCGGACTAACGGAATTAAAATTAGCCAAGGTATGACCATAATGTACTGGGATAATTATTGAAACTGAGTTGAACTCGAAAGTGTAGTAGGGTTTCTACATATATATTTTCCGATCAAATGACTGTGTTTCCAGTTTATTCCATTCCGAAAATGTAATGGTCACCCAAGAGGAAGAGAGAGTTTTATTCAGTTATCACGCAGAGTGATTTTTTATTTTCTAAACTGCTACCTGGTGCCTTACTAAGTTTTTTTGCATTTCCGTTATAATCATTCAACAGCTACCCAATGCTTCCTGATCTTAAACTTATGTTGGTTCGTTATAAAACGTAAAAAGTGAAATTAAGAGACAGCAGTTACCACGAAAAAACAACCCCAAATACTCGATTAACAATTTTTCTTCGATAAAATATCACACATAGCGGAAAATATAATTTCCAATGATATTTTCAGTTCACGTCATTTGTGTTTGTGTGTGATTACATTTTAGACTAATGGTGCTTAAAACTGAAGAAAATATGTGATATTGTAATGCTTCTTTTTCTGTTGTCAGCTAAAATTACAATAATATAAACAGAAAGAATAGCTACAAATCTGAATAATACTGTGTAAAAATTTAATTTATTACATATTTCTTTAATTCAAAGTTATTAGAATGAAACATGAAAAACTTGTAGTTGTAGACAACGAATATACATAGGACATTCATACTGTACGATGAAGTTTAACGAAAATTTTGTTTCAGAGTATAAGTGCATAAAAGATTATCAATTAACGGCACGATTACACAATGATTCTATATTGTCATCCAAACATTTTGATCTATTCAACATTACATGGATGGTGTCAAGAATAGCTAACAGCGAAACTACTAAACGACAGTTGTAGTTGTGAAAACCGCTCAGTTACTTACACTAGTGGGTAGGAAGGATTTGTAAGAGTTATTTTTATACATTGAAGTATAATGTACAATTCTTTTGCTCATTTTGGACTTTCATCTACCGATGTCTGACACACGCCATAGTTCTTGGCCTGAAGACCGCATTAGACTCCGTCCGTCAACCGGAAGGTGTTGTGACAATTTCTGGCCATAAAAGGAGTACTGAGAAGATTTATCTCACCAAGCAAGGCAGTCTTCTCGAACTCAAGAAGCCGTGTAACAGCTTATGGAGAATTGTCAATGTTAGCTAACACAGGATCAGTCCATGATGTCTTTGACAGTTGGGGAAGTGTAGACTGTCTCGTTAACGTCTTCGGGATGCTAAAAACCATTTGGTTTAGATCTCCCGTATTCACTAAACCCTCATTGCCTTCCATATTATTATTCTTTCCCAGTATATTTCTGCTTATTATATTTCTTTTCAATCTCTTTTTCTCCACTGGTATGCGATATATGGAGTGTAGCAACTTGAACTGTAGCACTTCTGTGCAGAATTCTTTGTCGAAACTTAGCCAGTCGCTTTATTTGACACCATTAAGAATATTCTCAGTAAACTTCAAACACCTAATAATTGTTTTAGGGTGACACCAATTTGAATTAGTCAACTGTTCATATTATTGTATTGATTTGATCCATTCAACTTCTCGATCTGAGCTGATGATCCATAACAATGTTGATAAACTCATCTACAGACAAATAAACCGTCTTCTGTGGTATTTAAATTATTGTTATCTGGCTAATCAACATCAATGACTGAGATGAATCATTTTCATCAGTCAGTGAATTATCAATTCAACTGCTTCTGTGGAGCCATAAGAGAAAACATTACTGCAATTAATTAATCAATGATTCTTTTAATTATTACGGTTGCATATAACTGGAGAAGTTAATTATTGAGAAAGAAATATTCTTTCTTTCTTAATTTCAGTCTTTGAAAAAGTTTTTTATAATGGGCATTACATCAAGTACTACAAATTTCAGCCATGAAAACAAAAAATAACCTGCTACAAAACTACCAAGTCAGTAGTTTCAACACTATACAATCCTTTAAAATTGACTTGTTAAGACAGCAGACACATCAAAAAAACTTTCTTATTGTTTTATATAAGATAAAAATAACACTGACATTCCATTAAAAAGATGAACTATACATTTACCACATACATACATAATGTGTGTATTAGAGATGGACACAATAATACAAGGTCAAGCTTAATTAAAGCTGTTAAGAAATGCTATAAAGTCAACATTTGAAAGAAAATACGAAAATCAATACTGCAAGAGTGTATAAAATTAAATAAAATATTACCGGCAGACTCTTCCATAAGCTCCATAGTAGATAAGATTTTATTCTGATAAGACACTGTCGTAGAGTAATATTGACTGATGATGTTTCAAGCACAAACTATTGCTCATAAACATATCAAGTCATTCACACAACACTGTGTGATTTATCAAAATAAAATCTTATCTATAATGGAGTTACACTCTACCATAGTGCGCAAGTTTTATGCTCTACGTTTTCAAGTTTTGGTTTGTGTAGAGATTTGCTTGGCTACAGATTATATTACGGGCCAAAGTCATTTAGAGAACCAATGAAATCCAGTATGGAGTAATGCACAGTTGTTTCGTTCTAGTTTGAGATGCTTCGTCACTACTCATCCACCAGGGTTTAAAAAAAAATGCAGGACCTTCCGGTTACAAGAAGAACTCGTAGACCCTTCAATCACTGGCAGCCGGATCCAATGACCCATAAAATACAAACTTCCACCAATTAGCTAAGGTTTGGGTCCGAACTCCAGTGGGGGTGTACTGCTCAAGACTCTCGAACTAGGAAGAAACAACTGCCCAATTTATATTTCGTTAAACTGTTGGAGTGTCAAAAGAAGTTATTACGGGTAATCGAATGAGATTACAGATACAAGAAGTAACTTTATATCTTTTCTCGAGTCTGTACACATGATGAATGTTTTAGGATACCCCCTTCACACACACACAAACTCGCTCACTGAGAAAGAATACAAACTGGAAGTTTTATAAACTCCAGTTTGTTGGAACTGAATTATTGGGACAGACATTTTAGGTTCCAGAATACAAGCAACACAATAATTATATGAAGGCTGGTCATACCAGATTGAAGTGGATGAGGCGGCATTCGAAGAATCCGTGATCCACCGGCTGGCTGAAAGTCGATTGGTTAAACCAGTGATTCACATCTCCAAGGGATTTTAGTTTGCAAGACAGTTTATGAACAGTTCAGTAAAGTGGAAAAAGTAAAACAACTGTCAATAATAAACAGGTTAAAATAAGTGAAAAATATGCAACTTTATTTTTACTTGATTTAGTACTGCTTGCCAGTGATCCACCTAATTCAGATTGAGCATATGGACTGTTAGCATTTGATTGATACATTGGTGGTAAACCCGTTGGTCCGCCAAATTCACTTGTAGTACCATCATTTTCAAATGGATTATATGACATACCAGGTACTTGAAGTGTGGAACCACTGAATTCACTTGCTGCATAACCATTATTAAGATTACTTTTCGACTTGTGTCTAGACCTAATAATAATAATAGCAGAAAAATGAAGATAAATTGGACATAAACGTTAAGAAAACATCCAAATGAAACTACATGTCGGACTGTCAAGTAGAACTTGAATAGGTAATGACAGGTCGGGCATAGGTTAGAGGATGACATAGAGAAGATCATGTGACGAGGAGGGAAAGAAAGCTTCTCAACAGTCATATAGTCAACTGAAGGTGGCTACAAGCAACAGGGTGTAATGGAGATGTCCTGGAAAAGCCCAGTGCTCCATTCGGAACGCAAACAACTATAATAGAAATGATTGATTTTGAGCTATATCTCTAACTATTGTTACTCATAGGATCCCATGGTCACCTTAACGTCAGAGACAGACAATCAAAACATTCGTACACAACACAGAAAAATGGTTAGTGACTTCCTGTTTTAGTGGTGTCATATCTTGAACATATTTTGCCTTTTGCCAACCTGTCCCATGTACCTTATTCGATGGAAATTTATAGTTTCATCGACTAACTGAACTTGAAACAGAAAGATCATTAGTGACCACAAAGTCCAGGGAACAACTAATTGAGGCCAGTTACACATAACCTGCTTAGAGTAGTAGTATCCTTACAAAGACCTTAAAGCTGGTTATGAGTTATCGCAAGGTAAGCCAGGATGCACAATTTTTGCGGCGGACTTTTCCGACACCCACACCGCCGGTTTCCCAGAGCGAAAAGGTGGCATAGTTGACCTATTGGTCCTCTAAGGTAAACAAATTGCTGTTGCTACACCACGAGGTTTCCTGCAGACCCTGAAAATGTGTGAACGAACTAAATTATGATAATAATTGCCTTTAGTCTAACCTCTATTCACCTGGCTTTTATGGCATGGGAGGACCACCAGAAAAATCCATTCCAATCAGTGTTATTGTGATATGCAAGCCTAACAGCCACATCAAGGTTTACTGACTTGCTTACTTCTATAAGTGTTAGAAGATAATCAACAATTAATCAAGGGGAGAAAATGAGGAAAAAACTAAAAACAAAATAACAAATACAATAATACACCCCTTACTTTGAACGTATTTTTGCACCAATATGATTAAGTGAACCACGTAAAGATTTAGAATGTTGTATAGTATTAACCTGTGTACCTGGTGGCCAATAGTCAATAGCCCATATCCAGTAGACTAAACGACCATGTGGATGAGAATTTTTTCTTGTTGGCTCCAATTCAGAGTAGGATAAACGTGATAAATCAAAGTTTGGATTGCCAGTTTGTGGAATTTGATTTAATGGTATATTAACTTGTCCAATATGATGGTTATCACCATCGACTACACGTAAACATACTGGATCTGATGGACTAATCAAGTCTCTACACAGATAATAAAATGTAAATAAAATATGTGAATTAATAACGGCATCACTGGATATATACTATTGATGAATCCCAATCTAGGTCGAAAAAGCTCTCCAGTATTCCCTGGTTTTAAGGGTTCTCTAACTGATATTAAATCATGATCAAACTTGAAATAAATTAAATCTCTACAAATTAACTCTTAAAAAATAATCTGATGCTCACCAGTGACTTAACAGAGGAAGTAGTAACCTGGAGTTTATAGTGGAAAATCATGAACAGTAGGGTGCACCAAGTTGGGAGTGAGGACAGATGCGACAACGTTGTAATGACCGAAGACAAGAGTCAGGTAACAGATTGTTTACTGAGAAAAAATCAAGAGGTACTTATAGATTTTTATGTGCATTATTATTAGCGTTATTGTTAGCGGAGAAACAACCTTTTCTGATTGGTTTTTTTTCTTGCTGAAGGTTGTTCTGTTATCTCTTCGTGGCCGTTTCTCAGAAAATCAAGTCATATATCTGTGAATCATATTGCCACACTTTAACTCTGCTGTGATTGGCTGGTGATTTCTCAAGGTTAAGCCTTCCTATTGTTTTCCTCACAACCCTGATTCGGGATGTGAACATTGACGTAAACTGTTGTCTACGATTTCGGCTTGCAGCCAGCCCTCACCACAAAATTACCAGACGATCACACTGTATCACGAAGTGGCAGAAGTTAGAACTGATGGGACATTAGATTCCGTTCTGGTGGCTGAACAGATAACCTGAAGGTTTTGGGTTCGACCCATGGTAAGATGGGTCATGGAGGCGTATTACGAACATCAATAAAAAAAGACAAGTTGTTCAGCGAAGACTCATTTTTCAATGAATTAATTTTCTTTCAAAAAGCCTAAGTCTTCTTCTTTTTGGAAGAAATATTTATCCAGAACGGAAAGCCACCAAGATTTATTGCCAAATACATCGAGCCGAAAATCCACGGACAAGAAACGTCGTATCTGGCAAAAATAAACTTCACACGAACCTCGACTTTAAAGGTGACCTACTCAGTTATGTCATCACGAGAAAAATTCTCTGTCTGTCTGGATTCAACGTATAACTTGGCACCGAAGTGCAGCAGTTCGAGTTGCCACGTTCCAAATAGCACACAAAAGTAGACAAGAAGATGAGTGAAGAGAACCAATACAGTCTGACAAGTATAAGAGTGAAACAGAATGGGTAATGGTAGAAAGGAACATGAAAGATCACAGAGACTGAATACATCTGCGCTGGCCATTGACAACGATTTTGAGCCATGTCACCTATTGTCTCCAGCCATCGATTCCTAGAGCCCTGAGGGCCCCAACCCGGAAGTCTGCATCTCCCTACCTGACTCAGTTTAACTGTCAAGGATTTCATGGATTGATGGCATGTTTTTGTTTGGCCACCACTTACTCTTTTCCAATCTGCACCTATATCAGCTAATAATGTCCGTCGGAGGAGGTGATGGTTAGGCACGCGCAGCACGTGACCTAGCCATCTCAATCTATGTAAATTCAGGCTTCTTCAATGAGAAATTTCTTGACAAGAGTAGTGTTCTTCAGTTGCCCGCTGGTATGTAGAAGCCCTGAGGACAAGATCTCGCATGTGACCACTTCTATGCGTATATATCAGTTTACCAGTTTTTTGGAGCCATGTATATTGGTCGTTCAATGCGTATCCCGTTTAAAAGGTTGCCGTGGCAATACTTGAACACCTTGTACATACTGGGGTCACTCTGTTTCAATAAATTCCTCCTTTAAGGTGATCTACAAAATGAAAATTTACCTATTTAAGACGACCCTCTTTCGCCTCATTTGCACTGCTGAAACTCTAGCCATCCAGACACAGAGATCGGAGCTGTGCATACAGAAGGAAATCGTTCATCCAATTCTATTGTCATGGTAAGGACCCTAGTATTTTCAGCCTAACTGTTTTACTTATTTCATTTCTCTCACCCTTTCTGACTCACCTATCCTCCCGAACTCTTGGGCAACATAAAATTTCCTTTGTTTCTATGGGCATCGTGATTACAACTCACTTATTAAATTATTTCTCATCACGTAATTCTGTCACGCTTATTCAACCCCTCATATGTATTGAGTAATATCGACAACTACACTTAAGATGATTCATCCCTTCCTTACCAACCACTTTTTAAGAGAAAATAAATTCTATATAAATGGGGTTTTACAGCTAAAGAAAATGAATTCGCCGACAAGAGACTCCTCGTTGAAATCCACATGTGTCATTACCAGTCCACCTGCTTCTTTAAAGCAAGATATATCGGTCGTTCAACACACACTTTGTCCAAAAGCGTTTAATAATATCTTTCTACGTAGTTACAAAGAGGTAGAAGTGGAGCTATAAGAACACCTCATAAGATATTGAACATTTTGACTGTACAACCTCTTTTTTAATATCACCTCTATAAGGCGAGAAATAATCTGCAAAATACACAGTGGAAGTAATTAAAAGTTCAAAGAGAATGAAACACGAATAATATTTGCGCCATTCTGATGAATTTATACCATATCATTGAGATTCTAATTTTATTGATTTATTCCAGTAACCTGAGTGAAATAATTTTTTGCTTTACCACATAACTCTTAACCACATAAGAAGAAATAAAGAGAAATTAAGTCTGTTGGAGGTGGTGATATCTGTCCTACCACACAAAAATGTTTCCGCACTTAGCACGCTAGTCGGAAGTATTAAAATAAAGTGGATGAATTTTACTCAGTGTACACCAAAACAGCATTTCTCTTGGTAAAAACAAAGAACAGATTCCTAACGTCCACCGTAGAACTAATTGTATTCACTCCTGTAACTACATCTAAGACGTTGCTAATATATAATAACGCTATCCAGAAGATACGCCACAAAACGTAGTATGGATCCCAATACATTATCCTTAAGATATTGAGAAACAACGCATGCTAACAAATGCCAAACGGTGGCAACGGAGCAGAATCGGTGTATGTGTGTATAGATGGTCAGCGGTTTTTGATGTTTCACAAGAACAATCGAGGAGTAAACAAATTCCCTCGTATCAAAGGAACACAACGACATAGGAACAATAAAGATGCTAAAAGTATCAAACATCCCACTTTATGATCTATAAAAAAGATCGCACATTTAATGTGTCAACCATTGGTTTTTGCTTTTCTATATGAGACATACACCAGGAGAAGAATAAGTACGAGTCAAAACAATATCATTATTATTAGAATACAAAATTGGTACATAATGAGCACCAACATATGCGCCACACAAAATCTCATAGCTTGTGCGAGTTTCCCTAGAATATCCCCCGGACACCCAGACCAATGTAGGTGATTGTCTAAGGTGGTCATTGCCCCGTCAACCCTTTGACTTGAATTCTAATCTAGAAGGCAGCGGTGCAGCGTCAGCAGCTACGTTCCCACGGTTTGCGGTGACCAAAAATGTTCATACACCATTTGATCTGTTCGGATTCTGAAGCCTATGTATATCACAGGTTTGGAATCAGGGTTTTCCAGCCCCCTTAGCTAGGTAGACCAGCATAACCCGCCAATTGATTTGTAAGCATCAGACAATCGAATTTGTGCTTTAACTTTTGCGAGGACAACTCACTTGGTAGAGGCTACAAACGCGTGGCCACACGAGAGCATTTCGAGAGGAAGACCAAAGTCTACCGACTCTCGGCATTATCAGATTGTTTATAGAGACCAAACCATTAATCAGCTCATGACAGCTCATCAGCTGTCATTTGTTTGACATCATTTAATCTTGATATAAATCGATTGGTAAGTCCATAGTACCTCCCCCCAACCGACTCAGCTTTAATCTAATGTACCTTTTATTTTGATTAAATTTAGAGACTAGTTTAACTTGGAAGGGGTGCTATTCACACGATCACAGTCTTTGTAGAGACATTTTTCTTCAATAGTTATATCTTACAGCTACATTTTGTAAATAAGTTCTAGCCATACAACCTATTCTCAAAAAGAAATTACATATTTTATTTTCACATTTAACATACTTTTGAAAACACTTCCAGAAAACAATATGAGTTTGAACTAAGTGAAGGAAAATGATGAAGAAATATGTTTATACACTTACAGTGTTACTTCACAATCCCATTTTGGACAACCATCCTCGGCATCAACATACTCTGAGGCTAATTTGTCTTCTCCACCCAAAAAAATAACACGCCATCGACGATTTTTAGAGGCTAGTTGAAGATAATACATAAATGTGTATACATGTGAATGTATATTAACCTCCATAAAATGATGTAGTACAACATGAATGATGATGATAAACAAAGAAGACATTTCTTGTTCATTCTTAACGCTTCACTAGGGGGAATAATTACTGCAACGTTTCAAAGTTTCAGGTTTAATCACAAGCTTATATCATTTACAGAATCAGTGGAAAAACACGAAATACGGGAAAGCTGTTTCCTTTTGGTTTGGGACTTGTCACAGTACGCACCTACCGGATTTCGAATCCAGGAACTTCCAGTCATAAGGCAGGCTCATAAACCATTCAGACACTGGGACGCGATCCAACAGCCTGTTAATCCTAACTTCTGTCAATTTGTTATATGTATAGCGCAACTGCCAGAAAATGTCATAGGTGAGGAAATGTTCCCTCATCTGAATCGATGGACCCCGCTGGTTACGAGTTCTCACTAGAATTCGTGATACATCCTTGTGTGTACAGCTAGTCACTAGTGAGCATCAGATTAATTATCAAGTATTGGTGTGCGGAGAATTAACTCGGTGAGTACTATCGAAGAGTCCCTAACAAATAGGAAACAGTTGTCCAGTGATTTCTGAATTCCCAATGCTTCTCTAACTGATGTCAGCTCTTGATGAAACCTACAACCAATCTAATCCCTGCAAACCAACAGTTGAAAGTTTCTGATCGTAGCTCTAGGTGTTAATAATACCTTCGATGTTGCGGACACACCCTACAGATGTATGCTAACAAATGCGAAACTTAGGTCAATGGTTTCCTGTCAATTGTCTCCAATGCGTCATATTTTAAAACATTGTCACTTTAAGAATAGGTAGTCAGGCACTTGTAATTCGTTTATTGATGATGCTAGAAAAAATCAGAACACTCTGAGACTGTTTTTCTCTTTCGAATCAAAACAATGAAAGGAATAATCTACTTTACAAAATCTCTCCACATGTTGAATATAGTCTCAACAATGTATACTTTTCAAAGCATAAACCAATATGAATACCACTTTTGTAATAACAGACGAGTAAGAGAATCCAGTCTGAAGGATAATGTTATTTTAATTACCACCACTTTAGTATTTAACTTAGGATCTAGTAAGAAATCTACCCTTATATCTGGCATCCTCTGTAACCTACTGAATTTGCCTAAGGCAGTGCAAAATAATAACTATCCATATAATTAAATTACATTTAGGATGAAATCAAGAACAGGTAAGAGATTCAATATCAGGTGGAATTTTCCACATTGTTCCCACTGCAAACCCAAAGTAATCACACATCTGTTTAAGAGTTCAGTTTTGCTTGAGCATACAACAGCCACCCATTGCTTTGATCATCATAGTCTGGCTATCGAGCAATACTGGCGAGTATTAGTGATTTTCAATAATACTCGTATAGAACAGCAATATGACGGATAGTTGAAGGTAATCGGCATTCGTCAGCAAGGTGCATCTGCAACCTTTAAGGAGCTGATTGATAACCTTCCAAGTAATCAAACCTGTCCTCAAAGATGTTATCACTGAACTATTCGAGTTTACAACTGACATCCTATGGGACTGTAATCGGCATAATTACTGGTGATCAAGGAATAACCAATGTTATGAGTCTGCTCCTCGCTGTTGCATTCTATGAGTCAAGTTGACAATGTGGTTACCAAGCTGAGTGAGACTCAGACTGAAACAAATTTTGAGGAATATTTTTTTAAAGAGTTTGAGATTAATAAATAGAAATACAATCTGTACTTCAATCAGTCACTGATGTTGCATATTTATGAACAAAACTCAGTATCCCATTTTAAGCGTCACATTTTGTGTTTAGTGCAGCCATCCTGTTAGTGAACACAAACACTCTGACACAGTGTTTTTACAACCTTTGCTTAGCACACTCACAAGCTTTACTATTAACCTGACTCAACAGTACAGTAGCTTCTTAAAAGAATACACACATCTATTAGTTCTCAGTGGTAACTAGATATTGACCAACTTCATTCTATTGTATTAACTTTCATATCAGTAGTGTTTATTTGTCTGACATTACGAACAACAGTGAAAATTCGTCATTTCAACAAATTGTGTAAACCACTTTTTTCATTTCTTTGCATTCAGAGTGGAACAAAATGCTTCAGAATTCAGCTTGGAAGTTTCAGCGACAGGGTTGGGTTACAAGTCTCAAACCCAACATTCCCTCTTTACCGTGCTCATTATCGGTTAAACTAAGGTTTAGGGATGTGCAAGCGAGTAAGTGAATCCGCATCAAGTAAATATTTGTCAAGCAATCTAATAATGAACCACTGACAGAGCAGTCGGTAAACCACGTAATGACAGAAAACCTATATATAATACAGAAAGCATTTTACAAGAAAATATGATAATACGAAAACTGATATATCGACAAGGCGATTATCCAAGAAATCTCTTATTACTGATTTCAGTGATATACAAAAGGACGTGTAGACTGACTAACTCGAGTCTTTAAGTGGTTAAGAGGAAATAGTGTCAGGGAACTCTGATGACATCATTGAAAAATTGGATCGCCATAACGCACAGGCATCATTCGTCACTCGTCTGTTACCTTCTAGACTTTAATTTGACCTTTTGTAATAAATTATTTTCCCTCTCATTCTCGTGTGTTTAGAAGTGAGGTTCAAGCACTTGACTTTCAGATGACAGACCCAGAGTTTCGATCCTACTCCGCCTACTTCACTCGCAGTTTATTATTATTCCTTCGGGTTCCCAGTGGAACATACGGCTTTGGCAGCAATTCTTTTGATCGGTTTGTTAACTGGTATCGTTTTTTTCGCTGATTCTTTCTGACCGGCTGGTCAGAGGAGGCAGCTGTTGATGAAGGTCTGCAGTGGCCCGTCAGAAATGCTTTTCGTGATGCATGCACCGCGTCTTTAAACCATATAGAAGCAGCAATTAGACTGACATTAGTGGCAAAATCCAGATCCTGCTCATTATGATAAGCTCAGTAGATTTCCACACTGATTTCAAACTAATGTATGTCTTTCCTGTTTTTCTGACCCTGTCTGGCTTTTACATCTCCATCCGTTTCGCCTGGAGTTGAAAAGATGCTGTCGATGTCTATATACACAATAAATGTAAAAGCACACAGCCTGGAATAAAAGTTTATTCCGGGTAATTAATCTCCAACATCTCCTGACAAGCCCTCATGTCTGTCTACTATAATATTAATCTGTTCATTATTTTTGTGGTTTCATTTTAACGTCAAGAAGTGTAGTAATTGCATTGCACTGTTTTACTTTCGTTTGTTATATTTTGTTATGTTCCAGTTAGCTGGACTTTTTGTTCTCTGGACTGAATATTTCAGTGCATTACCGGTAAGGTATGAGCATCCATCGTTCAACGGTGGAACGCTCATAAGCAACAAAAGAAGACCGAAATCGATTCTCGGCAGACGCACTCCCAAAACTTTCCCAGGCCGTTAGTAAATCCGGAAAATAAGGAAGGTTGGGCGTGAGGCTATCAATCTCATACCTAGTAAAAAAATTAAACACCACCGCTACAGAAACTTCAAAACTATGTTCCACTCGGAAAATAAAGAAATACAAGAAAAACTGATGTAAAGTGTATCTAGAAGTAAGAGTAAAATAATTAGTACTCACCTTTTTTAAGCGATGATGTATACTCTAGATTTTCTCCACGCTTTACTATAGATAAAAATGGAAATTTAGAAGGGTAAAAACATGCAAATATGTTCATCAGCATCGGATTTTACAACAGAAATAATATCAAATATTAGTGTGACTTTCATAGTAAGGAAACGAATTTAAAGAAAGTATAGTCAGAAAAACAGTGCAGAGGAATGACCTCCTGAACTATTTGATGAATCTATTGAATATGAAGATAATGTGACTTACTAACCCTGATAAGCGGATGTTAATCACCCTTTTTTATGGCTATATATACTAATGACTATCAAGAAAACCACTCAACAAGCAATGGCTGGTAACAGTTCATGTGTTTTGTATTGATTTAGCGCTAACAAAGCCGAATCAAACTAACTACACCGTGGATTAGCTTGAATTCAAATTAGCGATAGAGCTGTCCGGTGTTTAGACTACTTCAATCTGGCTAGCAAGCACTAATATTCAATGTGAGTGGTTTCCGGCTACTTATATTCATCAGCAGTAAATGCTGTCACATATTTATGCTATTTTAGTTGCTTTCTTGATTGTGATTTGTAGTATCTAGCTAATCACATACTGTGACCTGAATATTTTTGGTTTTTGAAGGAGTTCATGGTGAATTTTCACTTTGAAAAGTGTAATTTATAAATGGCGAATTCTACTCGGTCACATGCATTTGGCAATGTAAAATAGTTATTGCATGAGAAATTACACTACATGCCCATATAAATGACCTGATACGGGCTACAGGGGTGGGTAGAATTCGGTCTTTCCCTCCAAACACTCTCAGGTACTCACGCGTTTACAGCTTCTACCAGGTAAGTCCTATTTACTGCCTCCACGCAGCTGGGGTGTTCCTCACAAAAGTGAAAGGGATAATGGGAACGTCCGGTGTTTACAATCCGACTATTGGACATTCAGGTCTACCTAGGGGAGCTGAGAAACCCTGATTCGACACTTATGGTATTCATAGGCTCCAGTATCTGGACAGAACAAATGGCATGTTTCAGTAACTGGAAACCATGGGAACGTAGCTGCTGATGCTGCTCCAGTGCCTTGTGGATCACAGGTGAGGATGGCCAATATGTCTAGGCGTACTGTAATCTTTAATTTTGATATGTCTTACAAAACTGCATCACTAATTTCCCTTTGCTGTAAGTAAATAACACTAAGTTCCGACTCAATACAACAGTGATGATATGGTTCATATGGCTGAAAAAACTGAATTTCAGCCAGTAAGTTCAAGGTTGGGATGATTGACTAACAGAAGTGCAACAGTTGAAGTTGCAACATTCCGTATAGCATACGAAAACAAAAGAGAATGAACAAGGGATTCGACACTAGCACAATAAGCAGAAATTTGAGGGAGAAATAATAGTAACATGGAGAAACGCTGGGGCTTAACAGATATGGGAAATCAAAAAAGTGAATGCATCTGCACAACTGAGAAAGATATTAAGCCATATATCACCAATAGTTTCTAGCTATTGGTTCTTTGCATCCCGACAACCCCTATTAGCCAGTCTACACTCCGCACACCCACCCCACGTGGCTGTCTCAAAACAGCTGTCAAAGACTTCATGGCCTGATTCCAGGTTTCAGTTTGGCCACCTCTAAATCTTTTCCAACCTAATGCTATGCTAGCTAACACTGCCTGTCGAAGAAGGCGATGGCTACGCAAGCGTCGCACACGTTCTAGCCATCTCATTCGATGTAGCTTCACAACCACATTGATAAACCTCCCCTCTTTACGTAGCACTCGACGCCTGACCCTACTACTGCTCATCAGAGTGTAATAGTTAACATGGGAGACAGGAGGCAAACATCTACAGTTGAAGACAGTCAACCTTTTCGTATGTTCCACTTTCAATGCCCATGTCTCATAGCCATAAAGGAGGATGAAACGAACTGCTGAACTGTACACCCATCCTTTAATTGATGGTCGAATATCAAATCTACGCTAGAGATGACTAATGTTAGCAAATGCCACACAAGCCTTTTGTATCCATGTTGGGATTTCATCAGCAATCAGTCCCATTTGGCTTGACGGAGCTCCCAGTTCGACCTACTTTAGGTGAGGCAACTGAGTAGTATCATCAGTTATAATAGAATACGTATGGCTCCTAGAGCGGTGGTTCCTTGGGTAAAGCAACTCTAACTAACTGAGTTCTAACACAAAAGTATATGATTGGTTTCAATCCACACCGAAATCTGTACATGAACCTATTTTATCATAGAGATTTTTATTATGTACTTCCTCGCTCAAGAAGATACAGAGCTTAGTGAAGTGATAAACTAGTGTTCTTAAAAACGCAGAATACTATAAAAGCATAATTTTAAATGTAACTGTGAGTCGGTGATGCAGCGATAGAATGCTTTCCAGTCACGCCATACGTGTTCGGGTTTCAACCCTAAACCTCTCCTAGCCGGTAGTAAGTTTAGTGAAGAGGTAAGGTTGAGACAAATGAGGCTAGCAACATCACCCCGTAGAAAACAAAAATCACTGCTGCTGAATCTTTGAAGCTTAAGCTTCAAGCCCCATATTCTATGCGGAACCGAAAATGTTCAATCAAACTTCAAATGTTTACTGGATAAATAGGCTGACTAAATTAATTAAATGTTGAGCCCCACAATGGAGGCTTAAAGTTTATTACCTACGTCAATGAGCAACAGTTTCACAACTTTAAACAGAAGCATTGCACACACAGAGAAGTAATGTGTCACATAATGAGCCTTTTATTTTACAAAACGAAAACCATGTACTTTTTTTCCTAGTTAATTCAAAATAAGAACTAATACGCATAAGAGTTGATTATACTATTTGAAAACAATAAAATATAAGAAATAATATTTATTAACTATAACTAACCAATAATGCTGATTCGTTTGGGGATATTCATATTTAACTGCTACACAAATCTAATTACAAAATCGGTATGTTATCCTATAAAGAAAAAAGAATATAAATACTAATTCAGGATAAAAGCAAAATAAATAGGATTCTTTAATGTCTGACACGATAAAATGATATGGAATAAAGAAAAGTATTAAACCAAATCAGAAAAGTCGTTACACTATCTTAATTCACTTTAAAAATGATAATTAAACTTTCCTATGTTTTAGGCTAGAGGTACTGATGCAACTCTTCAGATAACATCATACATTCATTTTGGTAATAGCTAAGCGTGTGTTGATGAAAATTAACGAGGTCATCTACTATTTCATCTGAAGAATTTAACACTTTAAACTAAACAATGATGTTATTCTCTCTCTCACACACACACACATACACGAAACTCCAACTTATGCTAACGATATTTTGACGGCGATAATTTTCCACTTTTGATATTCCTTTTGACATATATAAAGGAAGGGTAATGGTGTTGACATTTAGTGTTTGTGGCCTTCAGTACACTCTCGATTACCTAGGTTTGGCTTTAAGTAATGTAAAACAAACAAGCTTTTAGTAATCAGTACATATTACTAATCGCAAAAGGAATTTAGGGCTTCAGCAGCTCATACCAACTTCACCCTTTCCTGTGTCGTCTTTTTTAGCTGCTTCCACATTTGCCCATAAGATTCATTCCTGCTTCTCACACGATCTACTCCACGTAACCCTCACATCGAGGCCCCATTCATCGTTTCTCATTCGAGTTCCACTCGATGACCTGGAACGTGATATCACTCAATGTCCTCCTTAGTGTGTGTCCAACCAATCTCCTTCTGCATACTTGTGGGGGTATAGGTCCATGATTCGTTTGTTACCCGTCAGAATTACTTGTCGCTTATCCTTTCTGGTTGGCCATATGATCTTCAATGTGGATCAAAAGTAGCTGTTGATAAAAGTTTGCAGCCTATTGGGAATCACTTTCGTGACGCCCGCACCAAGTCTGTGAACTAAATAGAAGCATTAACTTCGTGTTAACAATTTAGTTCTTGTTTCTTAAGCTGAATTCAGAAGATTTCCACATTGATTTCAGATTAATGAAGGTTCGTGTTGCTTTTGCGATTCTGCCTTATTCAGTAAACCTAGTATCTACTGGCAAATACAACAAACATAAAACTGCCATCGACAAGACCAACAACTGTATGAACGAAAAACACATTTGACACTAAAACACTGCCCTTCAGAGTATTCATAAAAATTTCTGTACAACGCATCCTTTAGCGCTTATAATGTACCGCGTGTATTTGAATAAATAAATAAATAGATTCTTCTCTATTCAATAGATTTGGAAAGTGATGACACAAGCAGAATGATAATTAACGTTGATAACACTTTGATGTTTGAAATACGTGCTTGGCTCGACTCTCAGTGAGAACACCACCACCCACTGGAGATGCAGATATACGCAGCGACTGACGAGTTCTAAAATAGAGTGCGACGTGCGTCTTGAATTACATCGCTAACCAATATCAAAGCACTAAACTTTCAGCTAATGGGTCCCGGTTTAGAATCTCGCCCCAAATACTTCAGCATATGCTAGAATATGCATAAAACATCAAATTCACCGCCGGATACTAAAGCAAATACTCATGAGTGACAATAAACATATAGCGAATACTCATAACTAACATACAAAGTGAATTATATTCGGTCTAACTTCAAATCTCATAAGAATGAAGGTTATTATCAAAATTGGAAAGAATGGAGGATAAGGTTGCGTGCGTATCAGTGTGTTAGCGAATGCAGAATCGAATAAGCAAAGACAAATTAAGAAAATAAAAGGGTTACTCGTACAAGTGTAAAAATACACATGCAAATGAGTAAGACATATTTTGTTGAAAAAATATGACTGACGGAGGTGAGTGTATACATATAGTACAAAAGGTCACATATAGAAAGGTATGATGTAATATAATATTTACGAATTTACGCACTCCACAGCGGCCCGATATAGCAATAGTGACTTAAATTGTTTCGAATGTATATGCAGTTCCGGCAACTTTAAGCGAATTACTGCAACTCCTGTCATGTGAAGGATTAGGTCCCTGGTGGCTTTCGGGCAGTTTATTAAATGCATGATACATAATGGAAAATGACTTTTCAATACCTGCTTTGTGACCTGTTTGAAGCAGATGAACTTATATTATTGACTGTTTACGATCTGTGTTGCTCATGTCTTCAGCAACACCGGTAAAGTTTCTTAGGACGAAACATCAAGTTTCCAGAGCAGCGGTCGATGTAACTGATTCTGCAGGAGGAGCTGAACCGACAAACACAAGGAGATATGGCTTAGGCAAATCATCCTTCAGGTCAACTATCAAATAGTGGAAGTGTAGAAAGCATGACTTTCAATTTACCGGAGTTAGAAGTTCTCTGAGTTAGTTTTCTTCGCTTGTTGATAATACTTTATACATTTATTCTCCTTTATGAATCTGAATAATAATACTTCACTGCCTAAATTGCCTCTAAACTGTAATTGAATATAAGGTATCTAATTGTTCTGAAATGTAAAATATTTCTATCCGAATTTCATACCGATATGAATTCTTATGAATTACTGTGGATAGGGTGCGTCGGTGGCATAGCGGTTAGGACGCTCGCCGACCATGCACAGGGTCCGGGGTTCGAACCCCGACCGACGCACTCCTTTACCTCGCTAAACCAGAAATAATGCTGCCAAAGAGGAAAGGTTGGGCATGAGGCTAGTAACCCCATCCTGTAAAATAAACACTGCTACAGAAACTTCAAGCCACTAGCTTGAAGCCCTATGTTACACTGGGGAACGTGAAGAAAAAAACTCTGGATAGGTATAGTCATTCAAGGGATCTTTAGTTCATCTACAGCCCATCTTTGGAAAATACAGCTCTCACTTTAAAGCTGTATCTTTATCAAATTCCTTTTGTACTGAAGAGGAACGAAGATATGGAAACATGTATACTGCCCAGTTCAGAAATTTCATATGTAACTTTTGGATGTTCTTGTTAGACGGACATCCAAGAAGGCAATATGGGATTTTAAATCAGGCAAAATGACACCCAGAGGAATCAAAATTTACAAATAAAACAGTTCGAAATTCACCGAAGTTCCCTTTGGAAACCAAAATTACTCAGATCACAAAGCGTAACGATTGGCTGCATTTTCCAAAGAGAACACCGAGGCGACCCTTAGTCCGTCCGTAGAACCCCTTTCACACTATAGCTGCTGAAACCTACGGCGACAATCCAACGGGAGAGTGTGGCAGGATGATTGCAGTCACCAATATTCACAGCAGAAGTCCCATGCACCTACCTCATTTACAAATGAAAATAATTGTCTTCCTCAATCAACATAGATTACTATGAGACTTCTGTATTTCCCGAAGAATCGAAAACAAAACGATATTGTTTTACTGACGTCTCACTATTTAATCATCGACGCCTAGTTTAAAAATAGGAAGTGAAGTGGTAGAGCACGTTGACCGCTTCACTTATTTGGGAAGTACCATCAGCCAGTGCCAACGGGCTGATCTCTGACGAAATCTCAGCACGAATACAAGGGGCTCGTTTCGCATTTGTTAGTTTACGCCGACTCTGGCGTAGACGAGATGTTCGACTATCGACCAAAGGGCGGGTGTACTGCTCATCAGTCCGCTCCGTCCTCCTCTATGGCTGACTGTGAGACCTGGCCACTGAGAGTGGAAGACATGAAAAGACTAGCTGTCTTTGATCATAGGTGCCTGCGTTCTATTTCCCGTGTAAAGTGGCATAATAAGGTGAGCAACATGGAGGTTAGGCGTAGAGTTCTAGGTAAACAGGGGAAATCAATCGACGAAGTCGTGAAGCTACAAAGACTGAGATGGTTAGGACATGTGTTACGTATGCCAAGCCATCGCCTCCCTCGACGAGCAATGTTAGCGGATATAGGGTCAGGCTGGAAAAAAGCTAGCGGCGGTCAAACAAAAACTTGGCATCAGTCAATGAAATCCACAACAGTTGGTCTAAGCCACGTAGGAAGGTGTAGACTTCCAGGCTGGGGTCCTCGGGACGGTAAAAATCTATGGTTGGAAACAATTGGTGACATGGCTCAAAATCGTTCTCAGTGGCGCAGATGCATCCACTCCCTGTGACTTATGATCTTCAATGAAACTGTTTTGTATTTCTTTATTACTCCTTTGTCTCACACCTCTGCTCACTGTTTCTATTATGCTTTTCTTGTACTTTCTTCTCTTGCTTCGCGTGCTACACGGAATGTGGCGACTTGAACTTCCGCACATTTGTGCAAAGTTCTATGTCGAAAACAGACAGACAGAGACTATTTAATGCTAATAGCTTTATTAAAGTATTATGAAAGCAGAATTTACAAAATCTCAACTTATATATTACAACTTAATCATCGTTCATCATTATGGGGTAATATTTACGTTGTCAAGTTGACTAATTGGTAAAGATAACAAAGCCGTGTGTAGATTGTTGCATTTGATAAGCGTTTACAATTATAAAAGCAGCATGTGTTTACTTAATGAAGTTGCTTATCGCATTCGTGTTGATTTTGTCATTTCATGGGGGAGGCGGGTGTTGTAACCAAGTCAAATTCTGTATCAGTCCATCATTCCTACTTAGACAATTTGGATTCCATTTAATGTAAGTGGTTGGCTTCTGATATTAGACGTTCTTTGTGATTTCCGAAATGTATTGTCAAAATAAATTCTGTGACCTGGTTCTATGGCGTGTAGACCTATGGCTGGTGATTTTTCAAGCTTTCCAGTTCAACTGGGTTTCCCGGTGGTCGAACAGATGCTAAACGGTGTTCATTTCTGCCGATTAATTTCTCGTGATGTTTGCCCGATGTATATCGCATCACATATCAAGCATTTTATTTTGTAGACACAACTTAATTGAGCATCCCTAGGGATGTGGTCTTTTACATTGACAAGGTTGCTTTGTACAGTGTCTGTTTTGAAGAAAACTCTGATGTTGTGCTTATCGAGTACTCTTCTGATATCGTCTGACGTTTCTGATCTATGTGGAATGACAACTGTTGAGGCCTATCTCTTCGAAATACGGCTTTGACCACATATAATGTCGGTCAATGAAGTCCTTATTTTTCTTGAGGATTTCAGTGAAGTTTGAAATTTCTCGGTAGCAATGTCAAAACAGAAACAACACTTTATCATAACACTGCTCATATTAACCGCAGAAATTCCAAAGTAAGCAACTTAAAAGTTTCTGATGAAACTCAGAGACCCGGGACTAGTTCATGTACTCAAATGTAATTCCCATTTTAAATGTCCTAAGTTATGATGCTATTTGATGACTAAAAATGAAGTGAGTTTGGGATTTGAACATCACAACCCATGAAATATTGGCCTGAGTATATACCAATAACTCACATTTCTAAAGTTTCACTACACTGAAATGTATAGGGTGAAATGAACCAGCATCCCTATTTCTTTGGCTAAGCTCGAAGTCGATATAGTTTTAGAAATAGGAAAGATTGACAGGTTATGCAATGAAAGTGACCGGGTTACGAGACAAATGAAACGAATCCTGAATAGTTTCATTAATAGACTTAGATGACGCAATACTGTACACTTTTAAATGTGAACCATAAACCCCAACAGAGTGAGGAAAACAAGTGCTAACTTTTAGCACTATCCCCCTAAAAGCTAAAGTTTACTTTATTTATTTTATTTTTATTTTTGATTACAGCTTGATTCCACACCGTATTTTTGGTACAGGTATGGAATTTTCAGCATGGATATCGGTAGCCCAAATTTCGCAGGCCGACCATAGATATCAGGTGTGCGTCGGCGTGGGCTCGAACCCCGGACCATGTGCATGGTCGGCGAGAGTCCTAACCACTGTGCCACCGACGCATTTACATTAGATATCAGCTAATTAATACCATCCGGTTTAATTTCACTGGCCTAGAGGTTACTAAAGAAACAGAGAAAGCTTTATACAGAGCCACTATATTCTTTCACGGAGAAAATACGAATACTGGCTTTACCAACTTTGCTTAAGTTTGTTATAAATGCCATGATTCAAAACAAAATGACTTAGAAAAATCACTCCACTCAATCTTATGTCAAGATATAATTAAGTATATAAATGCATAATATCAGATCAGACAAAAATTAGGTAATTAAGGGCATGGTCAATAGTAACCAGTATTTAACCAGTGTTTTACCATTTTTCTACTACAAAAACAATGAGAACACTCAGAAATCACGCACATGCAGTAAGACATGCACATAAGAAATCAGACAACCTATAGTATAATCATGCAATACAAATCGTGAGTAAAAATGGCAGCAACACTAACAGAACAAAAGCTCCACGACTGATATATGACTGTTGTTTGGTGATATTCCCTGAAAAACGACGGAAATCAAATGATTTGGCTTTCTAAGAAGTGACAGTATTATTAAAAATAAACTTCCGTTGAGAATATATCACAAAACGTCTGAGAAACAAGCCTGACACAAGTTACAATTAATACCAGGTTAATTAATAACTGACCGGACATCGTAGCATCAAGATTCAAAACAACCGCGGTTTTGAAGCACTTCCAATTCAGATTCAGATTTATTGGTTGTGGATAGAAGGCTTGGAGCCTATGTTAATCCCTTTCTAGTAAATTTATGTGGTTGTTCAAACCCTTTTCGAATGAATCAGTTGAGGTTGCAGACACCACTTCTCCTGGGAGTCGGTTCCAAGAGTTTATGACTCGATGTGAGAACCAGTACTCAACAGCAATATGATTTCTTCTTGGCTTTCGAACTCTCCTGTTATGTCCTCTAAGGTGTTCCGACCTGGTGGGAAGGAAAAGAGAGAATAGGTCAGGTCCGTAGTAGTTATTTAAAATTTTAAACATTGTGATTAAATCTCCTCTCTGCCTACGGTATGACAGTGAGAAGAGATTTAAACTGTCTAGTCTTTCCTCGTGTGATAAGTTACCTATACCGCGAACCATCCGTGTTGCCTTCCTTTGAACACTTTCTAGAATGTGTGAGTCCCTTCTAAGACAAGGACTGGGGGCCTGGATGCAGTTTTCTAGTCTTGACCTCACCGTAGATGTATATAAGGAGGTGAACATATCTCTGGCGATTCTAGTAAAGGCTCTGCGAATAGCCCATAAGGATCTGAAACTACGTGCAGCCACCACGAGACAGTGTGCTGTGGATTTTAAATCGTGGCTAAATATGACACCTAAGTCCAAGTGAGTCTGAACTTATGGAAGTGTTATTCCTCCTAGTTCGTAGGAGCTTGTGCCTGCTTGTCCAATGCGCATGGTTGCACATTTTGCCACATTGATCGGGAGCATCCATTCTACGGACCACTCTGACAATTTGTTGAGGTCCTCTTGCAACGTGAACGTATCACTGTTGCCCTTCAGCTCTTTCCAAATTTTTAAGTTATCTTCGTATATGACCATAGGGAAGTCGGTGAGCAGAGGTAACTCATTGATATACAAAATAAATAAGAGAGGTCCGAGTACCGAGTACCCTGTAGCACTCCGCTACGTACTGCTGTCCAAGAGGAGAGTTTTGAGTTGATCCTAACCCTCTGCCTCCTATCTATCAGGAATTCCCTGAGCCAGTTTAGTAATCTGCCTTTGATACCAAGACTTTTCAACTTCGTCAGTAGTCTTTTCTGAGGTACTTTATCAAAGGCTTTA